AAGTACAAGAAAAAAACCCCTCGTATTGCAATAAAATTCACCCACAATATCTAATACAAACTTCTTCGATCAAAAACTATAAAGCTATAGACCTACGGTACCTTGGACTTAACAATCGTCGTTGATTAGGTTCAAAGGATGCAAAATGTTGTGCCAACCTTGCACGTTTTTGTTGTACGACCACTAAAGGGATTGGTACAATTTCACATATCAAAGCAATGATGTCCAATACAAGATATATTACTACAGGTCGATATTGTTGTGTGGACCATAAAACGGCTATTAGGAAATGATTCCAAGAACAAACATGATTATTCACTTAATTAAAAAAATAAACTATAATAATTATCGTAATAATCAAAGATAAAAAAAAAACTTACCACAAATACCATATTGTGCTAAACTACCTATATTCCAAAAGGTGAGGACTATCAACAGTTTTCCTGGTGGACAAATAAAAGCTTTATCACCTTCAAATATATACCATTCATAATCTTTATTCACAAATTTTTGTGACCGTTTAATAGCAAGGGGGTATTCATCACCAAGTTGTGAATGCCACTTTCGGCTTGCTTTATATATTTTAATTGCCCTCACAAAATTGACAATTCTTTTTGGATGTGAGAAACAGATTCTACTGTAGCATGTCATACACGTGACAATAGTATCTAAAAGTATCTAAATTTAATGGTGTTTTTTTTAGTATAAACTCTGATTTGGTATAATAAGATGATAAATCCGGATGTCAACTATGCTAATTCTAAACAAGGTATATTTCAATGATTCATTCTTCGTTTGAAGATTTAACCCTTTATATCGATATATCCGTCCTATGAAATTATTCTTGATTAAACTCGATTTTATAATGATCCTGATTCTCTTTTGGTTATTATATGTCCTACGCGGAAACTAAAAATATTATTGGATAATTTCGCGTTGTCACACAAAATTATTTACTTACACGATTTATATCGGCTCATTATATATTATTTGGTAGTGTTAAAAAAATAATAATAATAAAATCAGTGCGGGCTTTTTTTTTTTTATGGGCCGGGCTTGGGCCCAAAAATATTTTCAGGCTTGGCATGCTACTCAAGCTACCTTTATACTTGGACGAAGGTCAGCATCAGCTTGCTTGATTCATAACAAGAATTAAATATGCACCATGATAACGAATAAATAAAAAGCTTATACTGTAAATAAAAAACTAAAATAATTCTAACATGATTTCTTTATAAAATATAAAGTAAACCCCTAAAAAAAGTTATAAAGTTTATTTTTTTAGTCAATTAAAATTTAATAATGCTAAATTTTTTAAGTTGACCAATTTTATTAATAAATATTATTTGAAATTAGATCAATACAGACCCCGAATAATATTAACCGGAATTTCTTACCTTTTTATCCACTTTTACAGAATTTTGATTGGCTAAAAATT